TTTCATGTCATTAGCACCTCTAGTAATATATTTACTGAGAAAAATGTTGACATGTTCAATACTTATTTTACTCGCTGTAGTGCAAAGTACCGTTTCAGTAACATTTATTTAGAGAACAATACCTACACTTTCAGATTGTTATTTTTTTCCATGGTTATTTTTAAATCATTCAAGGCCAGATAATATTTTAACATCAAATCAAAAATACTCCAAAACTGAATATTAAAACTATTTTATACAATAAATTAAAGGGAAACTGACAGATTTATGATCATATATTTTAGTTAGTAATGAAATATTAAATGGTTATTTTTTTCTGACCTCATCATATTGAAATTTTGTAAAATAAATAGTTTTTTACACCAAAATAATTTAGGGGGGCTTTAGACTATTTTAGGGGGTCTCCAGCCCCCCTAAAATAGGCCTAGTGATGCCACTGCTTGTCTCAGTGTGCTTGTGAGTTTATAGTCACAATAAAATAAAGTAATAAAATCTAAAAATTATTCTCTCTCATTATTCAAGTATTCCTAACTGATGTAAAACAGGAAAGTCTGATTTAATGTAAGATTTTTTTAAACTTTTTTTTCAACACGTATGAAAAAAAAATGCTTTCAACTGTGTGAGACAAACAGGTTTTTAAATTTCCAAAGGAATTTAGTCTAGAGTTAAGTCTGGATAACAAAACACTATTTGTCCTCTCATTTTTTTTGGTGAGAGCTATGCTGATGATGGGTTTTCCTCTCGTCTTATAAACTCCAAGTAAAACAGAAATTACCGTAATATCTAGAAAAGCTGGACAAATTAAAGTTAAAGAATGGAAATGCAAGAAAAAGTGTGCTGGTTAAATAATTATAATAATTTCACTGAAATGTTTCACCAACCATTTGGGGACTTTTTATAAACTGATACAGATCTAATGAATTATTAATTACCCTTTATAATTATCTTTTTTTTCTCTTCTTAAAATTTCCCTTTTCTCTCTGGCCTTTGAACACAATTTGTAGTGTTGTTTTAATGTTAATTAATCTATGTTTTGAGGGTTTTCTGTTGTTTTACATGTTTTATATTGTAGCTTTCTCTGTGAGCAGCTCACGGAGCACTTTTGACCTTTTCAGCAAACAGCTCCTCGTTTGGCTTGTTTTGCTTTCAGTGGTGCAGAGGAGCGAACCTGGTGCTTACATGAAGACGTGCACTGTTCACAGGAAGGAGGTTTGTGATTACAAACAGAGTTTGCATAGTTTCACAGCTCAGTTGCCTCATGGGTGTTTGTCCAAACTCTCAGGACTAAATGCAGACAAGAAGCTTGATAATGAAACAATATTGAAAATGGAAAGATAGAGCTTACAAGAAAGACTGGAAGAAATGTTTGAATTTACACAGAGGGTTTTGTTATTTTCTTAACTACTTTTCCACCTGGGTCTGTTTTGCCGTCACACCCCTGTTGTAGTGGGATGGGGTGGAGTTAGTGGTTGAGTCATTATGTTATTGGAAGATTGTTTATTCTCTAATTCTGCAGTGCTGAGGGTTATTTTCACAAGGAATTGAAATACAATTTATCTGCATGCTGTTGACGAGCAATCAAAGTGATGCAGAGCAAATACAGGGACCATCCCTTTTCATTATAAATGACTTCATACTGTATTTTGGTCTATCATTGATTTATTTTAAACAAGTATTTTTAAAGTGGAATGACAAAACAACACAAAAAACGAATTACATGTACAATGTACAAATTTTTTGGACATCTTCTAATCCACTCATGGTCAAAATTATCCCTATATTCATACATTCATCTAAATCTGTTCGTATGTGATGTTAAAGGTCTCTGAATGTACTTTAATTTGACCTGGTCTGCAAGCATAAAAAATCCCAATTCACTCATTGGATTCATCAGAACCGAACACCAGTGTCTCTGAACCCAACCTGCACGGTCCCTTCTGCAGGTAGTGGGCCTCACAAGAAGGCAAGCTCATCCAGGCTGACCCCACCAGGCACTCACCCTTGAACTACATTTTATCTCAATATCTATAAAAATGTCTGACTTAGAGCTGTTTTTGTGTTTGTTAAGTTTGACTATCTTTAACTGGGCCAGCTCCAAAAGTGAATCTGTGGATGTACTGTTCAACCAATCAGTACTTTCTGAAAATTTCATTAAAATCTGTTCTGTTGATCACGAGACATTTTGTTTATAGACAAACCAACGTGAACCCTCAAACACAGGTAATTATAGTTTTTCCTGCAGTTTCATAAAGTCTGTTTTAAAGATATTGAGCTAGAATTTGGTATGGTAGTAGCTGAGAGCAGAGTTGTACAGTAACTAAGTACAAATACTTTGTTACTGTACTTAAGTAGAATTTTTGTGTATCTGTACTTTACTAGAGTAATTATTTTTCAGCATACTTTTTACTTTTACTCATTGCATTTTTACACAATTATATGTACTTTCTACTCACTACATTTTTTTAAAAAAAGGTAAGAAGTAGAAAGTTGTTACTCCTATTTTATTCTGAGTTGTTATTACTGAAAAAATCCTATCCTGACAAATTGTGTCTCCTGGATAGAGTGAATTTAATTGTGGTTGGATGAGAAGTATAAATATTTACCATTCTGACACCATATTAGCTTGTACACAACCCATCACAGCTGCACACTGTTAGAAAATATATACTTTGGAGAAGTCACCTCCCAGTAAATGTCATTTAGGAAAATCTAACTGCTCACTTTTACTCAGTACTTTTACTTTTAATACTTATGTAGATTTTGTGTCAGAAATTTACTTTTAATACTTAAGTTTAAAAAATATCAGATACTTTAAGACTTTTACTCAAGTAATATTTTTAGAGAAGACTTTAACTTTTACCAGAGTATTTTTTTGGTAAGATACTTGTACTTTTACTCAAGTATCACTTTGTTGTACTTTATACAACACTGAGTAATATTCCTAAAGGAGACTTTTTTACCAGAGTATTTTTTTGGTAAGATACTTGTACTTTTACTCAAGTATCACTTTGTGGTACTTTATAGAACACTGAGTAATATTCCTAAAGGAGACTTTTTTACCAGAGTA